ACTCCATAGAAAATTTTTCTTCCTCTTGGGTTTATCCATAACTTCTTCTCTCTTATGTTCCCTTTTTGTTTTCACACTGGCTTCTCGCGCTGCGGCTTTTTTATTCCGTGCAAAGCACTTCTTCACAACCACGCACCTCCTTTTATGCAAAGCCCAGTTCCGCCCGATACTTGAATACTGCAGTTGTGTATTAGGTGGAGCTTCGTATTCCCCTCTTTCTCTCCTCGACCGTGTTCAACGTGGGGCTGTCCGACTGTTCGATGAACTGTCTTTTACTTCCAACCTGTAGTCGCTTCCCCATCACCCCCTCGTTATCTCTTTCCTATTTTGGTTTCTGCTCTTCTGAACTCGCTTTAGCGGTTCCCCTTCACTTTTCTCATTCTCAGGCGGGCGGTCATCCTTGTGAGGTTTCTGTCCCCAAATGTTGAACCTCTATTTTCCCATTTTCTTCCCTAGGAATGTAGAATTGTGGAACACTTCCCTTCTCCGTGTTTCCAAGCTCTTGTACTCTTATTCTTTTCACAACAGGATTAACAAATTGATTCTCAGTTGAATGTCCTCCCATATACCTTCTCCCTTACATTATGTCATTGACTGTGGGGTTTACCCGTTTTGCTGTAAATCACTGTGTAATAAAAACAGCCAAGTACAACCTACTGGGCAGTAGAATTGTATTGCTGAGAGGTTTTTTTAAGCGTTGTGGTTACTCCTAGTGCGGTCGTCCTCACCTGTGTAGCCGTTTACCGGGGTATGATCAATGTCAACTGAGGAGTAGACTCTTCGGGCCACATGTAAGTTCTGAGTGTCAGATGGTTCAGTTCAGATCGGCTGTTGCCATTGAGTGAAGCAAATCGGGAAGGTGAACGATTTTGAGCCCGATCACAAGTATCATTAATTTAGGCATGAGATTATTAGCATTTCGCATCATTTTGGCGTATAGTGTGACATCGATCGGTTTCATCGAGTTGAACGTCGACTCCCCTCGTGCAAAATACATCAAAGGGTCCGAGTCTCAATTTGCCGCAACTACGTCGCCCGATTAAAAAAAACGCGTTTAACCGTCTGTCGTGTATTTTATCACCCTAGATCACATTTGTTTCCAGTGAAAAGAAATAATCCATTCCAATGAGAACAGACCAGTCTCCTTTCGAAAAAGATGCGTTTATCGGGCTCTTTTATTCGATCGAGTTGACTAACGGTGATAGATTCTTTTATCTTGGTCCAAAAACACTGCACAACTGAAAATTTTGGGGAGAGGGACATCTCCAGCCAATCCAGTTTGTTAATTCTACTCGTCAAGACATAGAAGTTGTCGATAGGAGAAAAAACCGAAGGTGTGTCACAGTTCAGGTAAAATTGGGGAAAGATACCAGCCTGGACATAGAAACAGGTGCTTGCTGAGGATTACTGGCAGTCCGGACCCAGTAGTATTGGGCTGTTCAGCGTGCAAACACTCTGGCAATATGAACGTGCTTCACGCCACCGAAAGCCCTTGGAAGCACTGCGCAACATCTCTTGCTATCACTAATCCACCACACATTCACGAATACATTCTGCATCATATCACGTTGACGAGGAACGAAACACATTGGCAGTGAGGTATCCGGGTTCAATCATTCCAATGACGTTTTATTCGTTGGCACTACAGTGTAAAAACGTTTCCAACAGCCACTCCATTTCCTACCGTTGGTAATAAACTGTCTTGTGTTCGTTTTCTCGGAAACCTAATTTCATCCGGTGAAATTTATCGTGTCTGTGTTTTACGTGTTTCATCTTGAATCCTATTTATTGCAAATCGTCTCTACATTTTCCGTTTTTATTTTTTGAGAAAATTATCGCATTCACGGAGCTGTCTGTGCCATTTTCGATTTGAATGTTTTCGAAGATGCAAGGTCTTCTCACTATGAGAGCTTGAGTTCATTTTGCTTCAACAACGAACTGACCTTCAGAGACTAATCTCTGAAGGTCAACATGTGTGTGTTGTTTTCGTGTGTATCCCGTCCTTTTTACCTCATGATATAATTAGAACAGGGTTTCATTGTGATCATGTGTTTGTCGTTTGTGTACTATAAATGCTTCCTCGCATTGCTTCACGCCCACACACAATCAAGTCGTATGAACACTGTTGGAAGTGAACACATTTCTCAGTTAAAAAGTGCATTGAACGAGCGAATTTGTTTAGGGGTGCGGAGTTTAACTGATTGGTGTTGTCTTCTGTTTTGAGGCTGTTTATGAAACGTGTCCTCTCATCTCATCAGTTAGGCGCCTAGCCTCGTGCGCGTCCCGATTGTTTTATGAGCTGTTCACAAGCTTTTTTGTTTGATCACTTTAGCCTTCGCCGTCACCCTGATCTACGGGGTAGCAAAATTCAGTGTAAACGAATTACTGATTTGGATCCCTAAATTTTCAATAAAGTGAAATGGGCTCGAAGGTCACTAATATAAAATTATCGCGTTTCATCACTCCCGCGTGTTGATCAATGCTCAACTGTGCCTAAACAACCGCTATTTACTTGGGTTATTGGAAATGTGATAATCACGGTGAGCACAGACCGAAGTATCAAGTTCCGGGGCGCCTTGTGATCATTTTCTGTGGTTCAGAACAATGCACAGATCTGCTACAGTTGTTTACAACTAATGAGGAAGGAGTGTAAATGTGGATGGTTCGTCTCTTTTTGCCCAAAATAACTGCAACCTGTTTAGATCATAATCACGAACACCTACTGTTCCGTAACAGAAATCCTTTTGGATTTCGGTTGACGAACCACATAAGATGTCATTGCAATGGAGACTATATAGTTTCAACCGTCGGTGAACTTCACTTTAGTTCATCTAATCTGCCTTTTGGCAATTACATGGTTCGAACCGTAGAGTTCCAAGCCCGAAGTGCTATCTACTCAAACTGTGTGACTACCACAGCCGTTAATGGTGTTGCGTGAATGTTCCCGGGAGATTGTTAACAAAGTCAGACTGGAGAAAACCTTGGCAATACCTCACAGTAAATACGATTTACACTTGTTTAATTCTGTACACATTACCGGCATTATTTCATACATTTCTCGGTAATACGTCAGTCGAGTCGTTTTGACCATCGTAGAGGCATGTTATGTCTCCGGCTGCTCGTATGCAGTCAGACGAGTTCGTTTATTTGTCGATGGAACTGTCTCATCTGCGGCATCTCTAATCACACCTGTTGCGCGAGCCAAGTTGCGTTAATCTATTCTGCTTGATCTCCTTTTCGCTCCATTCTAGTCTCAGTCGTGCTCAATAATCATATCAGCTTTCCCTCCCGGCCAAACAAGAAACCCGAACTTATAGACATGGAAAGCAACAAGTTACTCTGGGTAATTTAATTTTCTTCGGGTGTGGGGGGGGGGCTATTGACTTTTCATTCGTAATGCCTACTTTACACATTGACCGACGAACCCAGCTCTAGCTTTGTCCAACGATAGCGCAGTTTCACCCGCCTAACACGATCGACTACCGTTGATTTGATTGGTAAACGCACCAGGTCCAGAACGTTGATTCTCCGGAATTCTGGGGTTGTTTGTTTCACTTCTCTCTCTGTCTCCCCACCCCTCTCACCCTCCACATCGGTTCTGACTCGTTACACTGTTTTCACTACTCACATGATGACCATCGCCAATCGATTCAGTGTGTTGTATGGCGCGACATCTCAATTGCTCTCACCTTATCTATCCTATCCAGTCTGTTCCCCTGACCATTGGTAACTTAGCAACTACCATATTTCCCCGTTGAGAGCCATTTCCATTTGTTTTTTTGTGTGTGCGCGTACTTGAAGGACTAAAATAGACATCTAATTGATTCTGTAGTCTACGGTTCATTAACTCATAACTGGGAAGGCTAATCTACGACCGTATCTGAAAATCATCGATGTGAATACCTATATTCCCAGTGCCTTTTATACTCATCAGTTTAGAAATCGATTTGCGATCGATCGGTTTCCAGTATGGTCAGCAATTGTGTTCAATTGTGTTTCACTTCTAATTTTTTGTGCAACCGTTGTTTAGTTCAGAACCAATCTTCACTAAAATTTTATTATCAAAACCGATACATCACACAGTTCGTGATAAGACAAGTGGGGCTTTATGTGGTTCACACTCCGAGCTTAAGTTGCCGGTTTCCATGACTGAAAATCAGATCCTCGTGACCATGGGTTTCCCCCATTCATCACACTAGTGCCATTAGTTGTCGGTGGTTCCCGGTTTTCGTCTATGCATGACCTCTTCCAGAATGCCTGGTTTTAGTCTAACTACATTTCACTAATTAATTAATTAATTAGACGTTCATGTGAACCTCCACCGCCCGGCATCATTGCAACTGATAGACATTTCGCTGTGTCGAATTCGCTAGCAACAGTAGTCTCGTAATTAATTATGGTACACCTGATTGTTGTTGTTTCTGTTAACAGTCTGCATTTATCCATATCCATCATCTTAGGTGTTTTACTTGCTATCTTCTCATGTGACTAGGATAATAAAATTCGTTGGTACTTGTTTCGGTAATCCACATTGGTTCCCCTAATCGGTTCAATTAAACGCCGTCTGAGCTAATGCATATGGCATTAGTCGAGATTAGATACTTTTGGTCGTTACCATCTCCCCCCCCCCAAAAAAAAAAAACATTTAACAGACAGTGTCCTATGCACAACGTCTTTTGTGAGCTTGGTGCCCCAAACACGCTACTCGGGACCCATAGGGCATCGAATGTCTCCCCATCGTCGACTCCACTGCTTTTTCTGATTGAATTTAATTGGTCACTCATTTTTAAAGTTGAACAGATGAACTTAGTTTGTCTAGGTGTGTGATAAATTTTGTTACTAAGTGGTAGTATCACCCACCTCTGTATCATCATTCTCAACGGTATCCAATTAGCATATCTTTCGGTTATTTGCTACTTGCTAAACCTTGCTCCATTCTCTTTGTTTTTCTCATACCCTATCCTTATCCTCATTTCGTTGGGTCAAATTGCATCATACAGCCGGGGGATTGCCCAGGAGTCACGTGTCTATCCTCCTCGTACGGCTCGTACCAACTCGTTAAGTTCGGAGTACGTGAATCGACTGCAACATTTCAATCCACTCTTCCAACAGGACACTAGGAAATTATCGTGTCCGAGCCGTGCTCCGGCGACTATGGAGCTGGAATCGACGAACGGGGCTGGTCCACTCGTGTTCAAGTGCACTTGTTCGCATGTCTGCACGCAAACTCCACAGGCACGGCAGCGTCCCTCGCCCCGAAGCGTCAAAGCCGGAAAGCACACCAATACGACAAACACGAATAATTTTATCGGATCCTCTGCTATTGCAACTGATCAGCCTGTAAAATTGTCTTGCTTGACAGACCCGAACGAGTATTTCTCTGCACCTGCAATGACCTGTTTGGATTCCGGTTGCCTTGGAGTTCGTGAATTTGGCACAGATCACGATGTGCTTGGTAGCCCTCGACCTTTGCGTTCAGATTTGGCCAACGTGAGTTACGAATTAAGTGAGGATTTGCGTGCCAAGGAAATCGAACTGACTGAGCGATGTTACGGGGGTCGGTTGCGCGCACAGCGAGCCGCTAGGATTATTCAGAACTGCTATCGCGATTATCGTCTCCGCACCGAATATGCTCGGCTACGTTT